TCCTCGGATTTTCATTTGACCTGTGGTTTGAACCTGAGAAGCTATCTTATCCGGTACCACCGGTATATCGCGGTAGGCCGTAGGACTCTATATCGATTTTGAACTTTGTCTTGTCCCTTTTTTTGGAAAAGCCCCTTCGGGATGCACATGGCCCCCGGGGGACTATAAACTGGTGATGATCATATGTATCCTCAGCCTTTCCTTGGAATGATTTAACATGCGGTCAAACCAGAGCACCATATAATCTGGATTTCTGGATTCCTGAATCCGTTGAATGTCTCTTACTCTTTCCGTAGTAGTATAGGTTGGGGAATTTTCAGGTTGACACTTGATAGTTGCCTGTCATTCCGTAGATCGTTCTTTATGGTCTGAGAATGGAACTGATTTAAGTTGGTGAACGTTCAGGAAAGAATCCTCTGCCCAACAGGATTAGATTGATTTAGTAGATCTTTTACTTCAGGGAAGTTCTCGCTGCTGTCGCCATCTCAACATATTAACTGAGTATTTCGGACTACCAAATACGTCTCTAGGTGCTGTTGCCGAATCAACAGGGCCATTTCAGTAGTGTGGTTACAAGGGCTTTAAAAAGTTAAGGAATGCACTGGGTCTACAAATTATGTCTCTAGGTGCTGTTGTCAAATAAAAATAAACCATCCCATGTGCGTAGTTGTAAACGAAAGTTATGGCTTTTCATCTCGATTGTTAAAGGTCGGGACAGCAATGGTCAGAGATTAAATAGCACAGGTAATTGAGTAAAGTGTTTGTGCATGGATTGGCAGAACTTTGGACGAAAATTGTACTTGTAAATTGTCTCTAGCTCACGCTGTGTTTGTCTCTATAAAAAGTTAATGCTTAACCCCAAACCTAAATTTCTTGACTTTTTCGACGCTTTCTTGATGATTTTAACACTATTATTTTCATATTCATAAATTCTTCTTAAATCCATAAAAAATTTATTAAATATTTCTATACATATACATACATGTATGTATTCTATCAAAATTTCATCATGCACAAAATTATAATTATTTTATTAACAACAATTAAAATGTCCAAAAGATACCGATTACGTGAAGACGTTTTTATATAACGAAGAAAAAAATTAATGGAAAATGATTAAATAAAAAAAATATTTCTCTCCCAATTCTACCTCCACCCACTTACAGTTAATGTAATTCAGCTTGTAATAAAAGCTTTTAATTTCTCATACAAACTGAATTGTTTGTTTGTTCGTTGGTTTATTCCTTTCGTCCTTAAACGTACTACTACATAGCAGAACGTAGCTAACAAATGTCAGTGATGAATGCATACATTACGTGTAAATAGCTTTTTCAGCTATAATGTATTTAATTCATTTGACTGGTACAAATATGAATGTTGTATGTGAATATGAATGTGCTAAATGCCACGTGGTTGGATGATTGTCCGGATGAATGTGCCCGAAATGAACATTAAGCAGTACAAAGACATTGTCTTGTAATGCCTGGGTTGTTGTATGCAGTGCCGTAATAAGTAGAAGCGTATTAAAAACATTATGAAAATCTATTAAAAATAATCTAAATTGTGGTTATTTGTTATTTTGATGATGTAATTAAGTTTTCTTTTATTTTCGGTTTTTATATTTTTTCATATTTTATTATTACATATTTCTCTGTTGCCGTTATTTTGCTTTAGTCATGTTTATCTTCCGGCCAAGTTTTCCTTTCAATGCTTGACATTTTCTGTTGTCCTTTTTTCGTAATTGATTGTATACAGTCACTCCAAATAGTAATTACCTTCCACTTTAATATTGTACGCTAATAATTTATAAAAATTTAGATTTAATTAAAATCCATTTTGCCATGACATTTGTCATTTCTTCTTTCATGTTTTTCCTTGAAATAGCACGAAAACTGTTCTTTAAAAATAATTTTATTTGAAAAGTAGTCCTTAGAAAGAATGTTGTTTACAAATATTTCTTGCGGTTTTTATTTTAAGTCAGAATTGTGAAGATTTGAAAGGTATAGAAGGAAATGTAGCTATCTCCACTTTTGGCGTTTTTCTTAACAAATAACTTTATTGAAAGAACTGTTTACACCAAGCTTTACAAAACAATTTGGCCTTAAATAAAACAAAACTAATGTTTGTTTTAAACCAGGCTCGATTACACAAAATAATTCATTACATGGTCAATTACAACTACTTGTAATGTGTAATTGACCAATAACCAATTACAATTACTTGTAATTTACGTTTTGGCAATTACAATTACTTGTAATTTACGTTTTGGCAATTACAATTACTTGTAATTCACGTTTTGGAAATTACAATTACTTGTAAAAAATTGCTTGTAATGTGTAATTGAACAATAACCAATTACAATTACTTGTAATTTACATTACAATTACTTGTAATTGTAATTTTGGTATTACTAATTACATGTAATTATAATATATTACCAATTACAATTACTTGTAATTTACGTTTTGGCAATTACAATTACTTGTAATTTACGTTTTGGCAATTACAATTACTTGTAATTTACGTTTCGGAAATTATAATTACTTGTAAACAATTGCTTGTAATGTGTAATTGAACAATAACCAATTACAATTACTTGTAATTTACATTACAATTACTTGTAATTGTAATTTTGGTATTACTAATTACATGTAATTATAAGGAAAAAAATCACAATTACAAGTAATTGTAAGTGGAAATTCATTTTTAATCAATAAGTATTGGTAAAGCTTCAATTACAAGTAATTGTAATCGGTAAAGCTTCAATTACAATTACTTCAAATGTAATCATTACCTCCCAAGTCTGAAATCTATATTGAATCATTGAAGATCAACATATACTACCATTATCCTAATCACAATACTAGCTTCTAGCTGGAAGACTCTTATACAGCCAGACTGGTTTATAAAGAACTCGGTTATAACGAATTCTCGGTTATTACCAACTATTTTTAAAGTCCCGACATTTAATAACTATTTTCATACAAAAAACCGTACGCCACTTTTTTATTTAGAAATCTTCAGCCGTCTATTATGAACTTCGCTTATAACGAACAAATTTGACTGGTCTCCAGCAGTTGAAAGGTGATTGGATGGAATATGGCTTTTCTAGTTAGTTAGTTAGTTAGTTAGTTAGTTAGTAGTTAGTTAGTTAGTTAGTTAGTTAGTTAGTTAGTTAGTTAGTTAGTTAGTTAGTTCGTTCTTTGTTTTCGTTCGTTCGTTCGTTCGTTCGTTAGTTCGTTCTCGTTCGTGTCGTTCTTCGTTCGTTCGTTCGTTTTTCGTTCGTTCGTTCGTTTCGTTCGTTCGTTCTCGTTCGTTCGTTCGTTAGTTCGTTCGTTCGTCGTTCGTTAGTTCGTTCGTTTCGTTCGTTCGTTCGTTCGTTCGTTCGTTCGTTCGTTCGTTCGTTTTCGTTCGTTCGTTCGTTCTTCGTTCGTTCGTTCGTTCGTTCGTTCGTTCGTTTCTTTTTTCGTTCGTTCGTTCGTTCGTTCTTCGTTCTTTCGTTCGTTTCGTTCGTTCGTTCGTTCGTTCGTCGTCTTTCGTTTTCGTTTTTCGTTCGTTCGTTCGTTCGTTCGTTCGTTCGTTCGTTTGTTTCGTTTTCGTTGTTCGTTCGTTCGTTCGTTCGTTCGTTCGTTCGTTCGTTCGTTCGTTCGTTCGTTCGTTCGTTCGTTCGTTCGTTCGTTCGTTCGTTCGTTCCGTTCGTTCGTTCGTTCGTTCGTTCGTTCGTTCGTTCGTTCGTTCGTTCTTTCGTTCTTTCGTTCGTTCGTTCGTTTCGTTCTTCGTTCGTTCGTTCGTTTCGTTTCGTTCGTTCGTTCGTTCGTTTCTTCGTTCGTTTCGTATTCGTTCGTTCGTTTCGTTCGTTTCGTTCGTTAGTTCGTTTCGTTCGTTCGTTCGTTCGTTCGTTCGTTGTTCGTTCGTTCGTTCGTTCGTTCGTTCGTTCGTTCGTTCGTTCGTTCGTTCGTTCGTTCGTTCGTTTCGTTCGTTCTTTCCGTTCGTTTCGTTCGTTCGTTCGTTCGTTCGTTCGTTCTTCGTTCGTTCGTTCGTTCGTTCGTTCGTTCGTTCGTTTCGTTCGTTCGTTCGTTCAGTTCGTTCGTTCGTTCGTTCGTTCGTTCGTTCGATTCGTTCGTTCGTTCGTTCGTTCGTTTTCGTTCGTTTAGTTCGTTCGTTCGTTCGTTCGTTCGTTCGTTCGTTCGTTCGTTCGTTCGTTCGTTCGTTCGTTCGTTCGTTCGTTCGTTCGTTAGTTCGTTCGTTCGTTCGTTCGTTCGTTCGTTCGTTCGTTTTCGTTCGTTCGTTCGTTTCGTTCGTTCGTTCGTTCGTTCGTTCGTTCGTTCGTTCGTTAGTTCGTTCGTTCGTTCGTTCGTTCGTTCGTTCGTTCGTTCGTTTCGTTCGTTCGTTCGTTGTTCGTTCGTCTGTCTTTCGTTCGTTTCGTTCGTTCGTTTCGTTCGTCGTTCGTTCGTTCGTTCGTTCGTTCGTTCGTTCGTTCGTTCGTTCTTCGTTCGTTCGTTCGTTCGTTCGTTCGTTCGTTCTTCGTTCGTTCGTTCGTTTCGTTCGTTCGTTGTTCGTTCGTTCGTTCGTTCGTTCGTTCGTTCGTTCGTTCGTTCGTCGTTCGTTGGTTGGTTCGTCGTTCGTTCGTTCGTGTTCGCCGCGCCCCTCTTTCGTGTCTTGTTTCTCTGCCTTGTCCCCCCGCGTGCCCCTTTTTCTTTTCCCTTTGCTTTCCCTCCCCCTCCCTCCCCTGCCCTTCTCTTTTTCCCCCTTTGCCCCCGTCTTTTTCTCCCCCGTCGCTGCCCGCGTCCTTCTCCCCCCCCTCCCCTCTTTTTCCCCTTCCCCTTTTGTTTCTCTCTCTCCTCCCTTCCCCTCACCCCCTTCCCTCCTTTCTTTTCTTCATGGCATTAAATTTTGCTTTAACAAAGGCTTTGTAAAAATATCGGCTAGTTGTTTTGATGTTGGTACATATTGTATCTGGAACTTTTTGTTTTCAAATGCTTCTCGGATGAAATGAAACTTTACTTCAATGTGCTTAGTTCTTTTGTGAAATTGTGGGTTTTTACAAGTTTGATAGCACTCTGATTATCCAAATTAAGAACTGGAACTTGTACGTCATCGCCTAGCAAATCATTTAGCAACCTCTGTACCCATATAAGTTCCTTAACGCTTTCACATGCTGCTATATACTCAGCTTCTGTAGTTGAAAGAGCTATTGTCTGCTGCTTCCTTGATGACCACGAGATCGTGCCACCTGACAACATCAAAACGTAACCACTAGTTGAATGTCTTGTCTCGGTATCGCCAGCATAATCGGAATCTGAATAACAATTTAGAAATAAGTCATCAGTTTTAGCAAAAATAATTCCTTCATCAATAGTTCCTATTAGGTATTTAAAAATACGTTTTATTACTGCAATATGTTCCTCATTATAAGAATCCATAAAGCGACTTGCATATGATACTGCAAAAGCAATATCGGGTCTTGTAGCTATGGCTAGATACATCAAGGACCCAACAGCTTCCCTGTAGGGAAACTTTACTTTGTTTGAAGCATCACTTGTTGTCTGCACATATTCAGCAGGTGTACTCATAGGCTTAGCATCTTGCATATTAAATTTCTGTAAAATTTTCTTTGTATACGACGTTTGACGAACTACTATCTTGTCTGGTTCTTGAATTATTTCCATGCCTAGGTAAAAAATTGAATCAAATACTTTAACCTCGAATTCATCTCTTAGGCAATTAATGAACTTTTCTCCTGTTTCTTTAGATTCAGAAGCGATTATTCCATCATCAATATAAATAGCTAAAATTATTTTCTTGCTGTTAATTTCACCAATAAAAACACAAGAATCTGCTTTTGAAACTTTAAAATTAAATTTATTCAAAATTTCCGTGAACCTTTTGTTCCAGCATCTGGATGCTTGTTTCAGACCATAGAGGCTTTTATTAAGTTTGCAAACTTTATCGCTACCATCGGAATACCCAGTTGGCTGATGCATAAATATCTCCTCATCTAGGTATCCATATAAAAACGCTGTCTTTATATCAAACTGAGTTAACGTAATAGTTGAGAGATACAGTCAAGGCTAAAATTGTTCTAATAGATGTAAATTTTGCTACCGGACTAAATGTCTCCTCATAATCTATTCCTTGTTTTTGAGTAAAACCACGAACAACCAATCTAGCCTTATAACGTTCTACATCACCTTCCTGGTTTCTCTTAATTTTGTATACCCATTTGTTAGATATTGCTTTCTTTCCCGTAGGTAATTTTACTAGGCTCCATGTACCATTATTCATAAGAGATTCATACTCTTCATCCATGGCATCCTTCCACTGCGTTCTAAAATTACTATTTATTGCTTCTTCATAATTCTGCGGTTCTTCGTAATCTGCCACTAATGCAAAGTTAGCCTCATTAACTACATTTTGCTTTCTTGGTCTTAAATTATAACGACTGCCTGGAATTTCCTCAGTACTAGCAACTGCATTATTTTGTACTTCTAACTCATGAACATTGGAACTTTCTATATTCTCTACAACGTCATTTTCAGCATCCTCAAATTCATCATTAGAATCTGCAGTAGGTGCTAATGTAGCTTCTGTTTCTATAGGATCAATCTCCCTCTCAATGTCATGATTTGTACAATTATTGATCTCTGGCAGTATTATATTGTCAACTTCTCTAATAATAACATTGCGTGAAATCTCTATACGATTTTCTCTAGGCATCCAGATACGATAACCCTTACAGTTTTCTTGATATCCTACAAATACGCCTTTCTTAGAGTTGGAATCTAACTTTCTACGTTTTTCTTGTGGGACATGAACATATGCATCTGAGCCAAAAATTCTAAGAATGGATATATCGGGTACTTTATTGAACCATAATTCAAATGGGGTTTTGTTTTTCTGTGGACTTTTTCCTGCTCTATTCAAAGTAAAAACTACATTGTTTACCGCCTCTCCCCAGTAACTTAAATTGAGCCCCTTACTATGCATCATAGATCTAGCTGCTTCTACTATAGTTCTCATATCACGCTCTGCTCTACCATTGTGTTCTGGTGTGTATGGTGTAGATCTTTGGTGTACTACTTTATATTTTCGTAATATGTCACTTACTTCCTTATTTACGTACTCCGAACCATTGTCTGATCTTAATGCTTTTACCTTCTTTCCAGTATCGGCTTCCACTTGATCTAAGAATCTTGACATTACTTGAGAGACATCGGATTTTGCTTTGATACAGTAAACATAACGATAATTAGAGTAATCATCACGAAATATAAGCATAAAACGAGCTCCACCAAATGATTTCACTTGCATTGGTCCGCATAGATCTGTGTGAACTAGCTCACCAACTTCTTTTGCTCTGTTCATACTCTCGGCAAAAGGTAATCTGTGTTGCTTACCCATTACACAGCCTTCACAAAAGAAATCACCACCAGAATATTTAATATTTTGATTAACTAACAAATTTTTGACATGCTCCTTGTCTTGATGACACATTCTTCCATGCCACATTTGTAAGGAATTGACTTCAACAGCGAAGTTCGAACTACCAGTATTTTCATCTACTTTTATTACGAGCTTAAAAAGTCTTGAATTTTCTCTACGGCCTTTAAGATGAACTTTACCATCACGTTTAAACACGCATTCTTTCGAATTTGCTTCCAAGAAATAGCCCTTGTCCAAACATGCATTTATAGAAAACAAGTTTATTTTGATCTTTGGAATGTATAGAACATTTGACAGGAATTTCGAATTCCAGACCTTACCATCAAAAGCTTTAATATATATGTCACCTTTACCAACCGCTGGAATAATTTCACCATTTCCAATTCGAATACCCTTTGGATTTTGAAACTGTACATAGTTCTGGAACCACTCTTTTTTGTTAGACATGTGGTCACTTGCACCAGAATCTGCAAACCAAGTATCTTCTTCTGAAGTACCAACAAATAAATATTCACCAATAAATGCTTCACCACTGTTATTGCGATTTCTGTTTGGACAATCACGCTTCCAATGCCCAAACTTTTTGCAAATAAAGCATTTACCCTTGTTATTCTTATTACCTTCATTTTGTTGACTTTTGCTTAACCTTTTGTGGTCGCGTTTTGCTACAAAGGCTTCAGATTTTGTTGGTTGAACCCCTAATCTAGATTCTTCCATGCACAATCTTGATGTTAAATTTTTCAACGTTCGTTCAGCTTTGTCGGTTGCTTCCCACGAAGAAAAGAAATGCTTGTATTCATTAGGCAGGGTCATTAAAATCTTTGTTACCAGCATATTATCGGTTATCTTTTCACCAAGGTCCTCTAACTGCTTGGCCAACTTTTGCAATTTAGATATGTGTACCGAAATAGTATCCTCAGAGCCTTTTTCGTACTGGAAAAACTGTTGCTGCAGCAAATGTATAGACGTTTCTGATTTCTGTTCATATACATTTTCCAAACTGCACCACATATCGGCTGCTGAATCACAATTCATAACATGAAGCATTGGTTCTTCACCTATTGACAACACCAAAATTTTCTGAGCTTTGGCATCTTGAGAAATCCATTTACTTATCTCCGTGTTATTTTGTTCAGGCTTCTTTGCAATTCCACTAACTATGTCCCAAAGGTTGCTTGCACGCAGCACCACCTTTACTTGGAATTTCCACAAAGTCCAGCCTTCCGAACCTTCTAGCTTAGAGATCTTGATTTCCTCCATTTGTATCAATAACGAGCAAACAATTATAACGAAAATACAATGACTATTCTTTCCTAGTTATGGATCTGGGCCCATAACCTGTTAGCAGAGAAAAATATTTCGTGTATTGTTTCTATGAATTGTAACAAAGAGTGAAAAATTTTTATTTTCAATTTGATTTAAAATAAAAATACATACAATGAGAAATTATATTTTTACAAATTTGAACAAGTATTTTTATAACAAGTAGATGAACGAATAATTATAAAACAAACTACAATATTTTTAACACGACGAGTTCAGTTGTAGGCCTCAACCATATGTCGCATAGCATGAAACAATATGAATCCTGTTGAGATGGCAACAGCACCGAGAACTTCACTGAAGTAAAAGGTCTACTAAATCAGTACTAGTCTCCTGTCGGGCAGAGGAGTCTTTCCCGATCGTTGACCAATAACATCAGCCCTATTACGCGAAGAGTAAGAGATACTCAACGGGTTCAGGAATCCAGCATAAGGTTCTTTGTCACATCACCCAGTGATATCTGTTGAGATGGCAACAGCACCGGAGAGAGAATCCGGACATATATGGCATTTGGATATATCAGTCCTTAAACGAACATTCTCTCCCCGCGAATTTGAGCATAAACCACATTCACTACGTGGATCCCGAAGGAATCTCAACCAATTGACCGGTCAGAGCTAGGTCCTGTGGGCAACCGGCCACCCGTAGTGCCAGATAATATGGTACTCTGGTTAGACCCCATGTCAAGTCATTCCAAGGAAAGGTCGAGGATACATTTGATCATCACCAGTTTATAGTTCCGGCAGACTGCAATACATCAAGATGGAGTTTTTCATCAAGAAAATATGCCCCGGGGGTATTACCCATGGACATTTTGACACTTTTGAAATTGTCATAACTTCTGTGAACATTATGACTCAATTTAGTGTGTAATAACGTCCATGGACATTATGGCACGCCAACATTTATTATTAGCATAGAGAGCATCAGTACATTGGACTCATTCAGAAATATTAGGACATTTTTTTATATATACAGTATTACCTAATCAACTAAAATTTTAAGTTTTCCCATCACTGCAACAATAAATATTGTAACAACATCATCATACTAATATGAATTGGTAATGAATGTGGTCTAATGCCAAATTGTAAATAATGAATTTTAACAAACTAATGGCATCGTATTCGCAGTAACTAACTACTTCAGCATAACACTATTGAAACTGCATCTTATTGCACGTGAAGAGGGAGGTACAATATGACAAGGCTTAAAGAAGGGAAATATCTACTAACATACAAATGTTTCTATTTATTCTTCGGGAGTTTTCTAAATTACGTTTAGCACTTTAAGTATTTTTAGCCGATTTTATAAAAGAACGCGATTTATTCATTATTTTCATTTAGTTGGGTTTTTGGTTTGTTTACTCTCTCTATACCGTGTATGTTAATTTCTGTTTCTACTTTTTAGCAGTTTTTCATCTAAAAGTTCAAAATCATCATGACAATTTTTGCTTTTAAAAGATTTTCATTTGTTTTTGTTTTCTTTTCGTTGCAATCTTTTTTCACCTTAAATTCTTCTTCTGCAGCTTTTGAAGGAGTTGAAGTAGTTTTTGTTTGTGGCTTCCATTAGATTTAACATTTCTTCGTTTTCTGCTGGAGACTTTTTTCGCTTCGAATATTGATCTGTATGCAAAATTTTGGTTTTATACGTTTTATATGTTTTGTTTCTAGTTTCTAGTTTATTTTTTATTTTCTTTAGAGTTCATTTGTTGTTTCGAGGTTTTTGTCTATGTTTTCATTTGAGCTTTTTTATCGAACGTTCATTCGTTATTTGTTTTTGATTTATTTCATTTCAATGTTTTTTTTTTGCGGAGGGATTTTGT